TTCTTCCCTCTCTAACCTTCAAACACCTTTCAGCCCCATCTTCAGGTCACAATTCACATGGTAGGACACTTTGCTTGTTCTGATGGTCACCACAGTAGCTGACAAGGAATTGGTGCCTTCCAAGACTTATCAATAGAATGGTTATCAGACAGCTTTAGGGGAGGTGTCCAGAACAGATCCATTTGTGAGTGATGGGGTGATCCTTAGGGAGTACAGATTACCTGACAGTAGAAATGTGAATATCCCACAAGATCCATCATTCCCTAGGAAATGTTCCCCCGTCCCACACAGGGACAGCTCCGTGCATCTGTGCTTGATACACAGACTCCCCCACAAGCCTGGCAACACTGACACTCACAGACTTCACTGAACAACTGTGCCAGGGGATGGATCTGGTTTTGTTTCAGCTCTAAAGAAGGCAAGGATGCTCTTTCCTGCTGGAAAAATGGCAAGTTAAAACTGCAGTGGCTAAGTATCCTAGCTCACAGTGTTCACACACAGAACCATTCACCTCTAGATCAGACTCACACAGTCTTTAGTCCTCAGTTTGCTCCACAAAGTCTTTTTCATTAGCCTTCAGGTGACCTTTCCCATTATTTTTTAAGACACATTCAACATAAATAGTAAATAGCACTCACTTCTCTGACCAGCAGCTCACTCAAACACTGCTATCAACACCCAAACCTCATTTCATCATTCCCAGAAAGTCTGCACCCAGGGTGCGAATCTGAATTTCACATTTAGAAAAGAAGAGTTGGCTTAGGAGGAGGGGGAAAAAAAACATCAAAGATGAAAGAAGCAGTAAACTGTTTTGGTCAAAGCTGCTCTCTGCGTTTTGTGCAAAGTATTCTGCAGATTCTGAAAGGTCAGTATTTAGGTAGAGTTCCCTCTTTCTGGCCCCAGATGCAATGACAGCAATGCAGGCAGACCAGCACAAGCAAGCCCTGCTGTCTTCAGGGGCAAAAGGATCATGGGGATGAAGGACAAACCCTGCACCTTTGAGATCGATAGGGACTTGTCGTACGGAAAAAAAAAGCAGGCAGACCAGCACAAGCAAGCCCTGCTGTATTCAGGGGCAAAAGGATCATGGGGATGAAGGGCAAACCCTGACCTTTGAGATCGATAGGGACTTGTTGTACGGAAAAAAAACCCCAACATAACCTTCCCCTCCCCAAAACAGATGCCTTCTGAGAAAGTTTCTGCTCTCAAAAGTAACTTTTGAGGAAAACTAATTCCTGAAGGCAGAGCCTGACTACCTGTCAGGCTTACAGGACTCTGGGCAACAGGCACATTCAGATCCTGGGGAGAAAGTGTGGAACCACAGTCCCAGCTGCTCAAGGAAAGTCACCTTTCTAAGCAGCATTTCCATGGTCTATATCTGTCATTTTATCTTTAAGAAAATACACATGAACAAAGATCTCTTGGTTGAGAAGAATAATGTTCCATTTAAAACAAAACCACCACTCTAGTGGGACTAATAATTCCTTTTAGAAGTACAGACATGCCACAGGTCAGGCACTTGGTGGCTGCTGGGAGCGATTCTTCATTGGCAACACACAAACACAAGATTCAGTTTCTGGTGTTCAAGCAAAACAAAAAGTCATTGCTTTTCCCAGGCATGAGCAAGATAAAATCTGGCTCTTCTACCATTGCCTAACCCAGCCACAGGGATAGGATCAACAGGGACAGAGAGTGGGCAGGCAGTGTGGGATCTGTGCCCACATCAAGGTGAAAACCTAATGCTTTGGCTTTCTTGTGCTCAGGAAAAACAAAGTCCTTTTCCAACACCAGCTTCTACTGAGAAGAAAAGCAGCTTGTGATGGACCCGTGAGAGTCACCATATACGAAGGTATTTTTCAAAAAATTCTACAGATCTCAGGCACTTGGCAACATCACAGCTTGGAGGTGGTCCAGGGTGGTAGCCCACCATGGCCTGTCCATGGCTACACAGCTCAGAGTGTGTTCAAAAGCTGAGAAACCCAAGCTCCCAGCTGGCTTTTTTTTCCTGACATGGCAAAACCAGAAAAGTTGCTAAAGCTCAATGGAGTAGGAGCATGTTAGGTCATTTCTAGTCTATTTGTAGAGAAAACAAAGCATGAGGCTTCAAAGAGGCCTGGCCTGGACGTGTGGGGCTGCAGCCCTCCATTGCACCCTCCCTGGGGTCACACTGACCTGTGAGACCTTGCCTTAGCAGCCCTTGTCCCTTTGTGGTGAAAGCCCAGGATCTGGTTCAGGTCTCTCCCCTGGAGTTGTGTTCACCCACTAGTTCTGCCTTTATTTTTTATTTTTTTGCCCCTTTATTTCTGTTGCTGCCAGTGTTCAGTAAGAACTTACAGAGGACAAAGTGGGCAGAAGCCTGCAGCTGGTCATGATGAAAGAGATTTTCTGGGGGAAACCTGTCCTGACCAGAGACCAGGGTGCTCAAAAACTGCAGCTTTGGGCTTGGAGCAGGGAAATAATCTGTTTAGAGGAGAAAAGCATGATGTATGGTCAGCACAGGGAGTCTGTGGCATCGCTTTGGCTTGGAGGTCAGCCTGTCTCCATGCTTGTTCACTGGAAGTGCCTGCAATCTAATCTAATCATGCAGGGATCTCCTGGGTGTGAGGACTGGCCCTGCTTTGGAACCTAGATTACACTATTGTTCAGGTTGGAAACCCACTCCCTTTGCTACAACCTCTCACAGGTGCATGGAGAGCCTTCTGCAGAGACAGCTCAGCTGTTGGTGAAGTGGCTGTTGCATTGCCTGGCTAAGTAGGAAACACCTGCACAGATTTGGGCTGGTGTACCCAGGAAGGCAGATGTTTCACTGGTCACAAGGCTCACTCACCAGCACTTGGCAAATGGGACAGACCTCAAGAGGAGCTGGCAAGTAAGTGCATCACCAACTTGCACTGCACTGGGACCACACTCATCCAAGCTTCAGCTGCCCTGCTAACTCCTCAGCTCTTGTCTGCTGGAGCTCTGGGGAGAAGGGTTGCTTTGGGCATAATCATCTTTTTGAAGGCAGATGTTGCTTTTACAGGCTTTGATGCTTTCAGTGATGGCAAAATCTGACCAATAATAAACATAATCTTTCTTTCTGTGTTGCTGAAAAGAATTCAACAGTAAGTGGAAGCCCTGGAAATCCTCTGAGAGATTTCTCCCTACCAAATCCTAATGCCCAAACAGAGAAAGCTCACCTCCACTACTAATGATGCTTCAGCTGTCAGGATTTAAGTTTGTATATAAAGACCTTATATTTACCTCTGGTAGAAAAATTGTGTTTCATTTTAAACAAGAGAACTCTGCTTCATAAAGGTCCCAGGTCTGCTCACATCTATGAATTGCCTTTTGAAACTGATGGAAAAAAAGTATCTTTTAAAGTCACTAATTTAATTATCTTTTTAAGTTTTTCAGCTTTTTATTTCTTCTAATCTTCATGAGTTGTGAGTCAACTGTTCTGGGCAACCAGCTATGTCTTGTTGATATGATTAATAGGTTTTCTGACTTGGCTGCTCAGTTGTGTTCTGAAATAACTTGATCAGACTCGCAGCAAGTCAGGAACAAAATGGAAACTTTAGAAGAGGGAAAGCTGGAAATTAATTTCCAGAGCTGTGTGGTTATTTTCTAAGTCTGGGCTCTTCTGAGTAGCATGCAAAAATTCTTGGTAAGATTTCTGGAGACAATTCCATGCCATTTGTAAAGGTTATATGTTTGTAGGAACCCAGGCTCTTGAAGACTTTCAACAAGCTACCAAAGTGAAGAGATAACGGGAGAGGAGATTGATGAGTGGGGAATGGTTTGCCTTGGGATGGCTGTGATGACTCTGTTTCTTGATCCTTTTGCAGTGACAGCTCAGCTGTTTGTGAAGCACCTGTAGAACTGCTGCAGCCTGGCTGATTATGAAAAACCTGCATGGATTTGGGCTCTTCAATACTTCAAGCTCTACACTGAGAAAGTCTGGCTGATCCTCCACAGTCAGCGATGCTGTCCACACCACAGGTATGGAAACTATTGAGAGGGTGAGCAACCTTGTCTTGAGTTAATCCTGCACTGGCTTCTCTGAAGCTAGATAGCATCTTCCTGTCTCTACAACACAGCAGAAACTCCAAAGGGTTGCAAGTGCGTAAAGATCCCTGTAAATTGGGTGTTTAAGACAACAAACAGCATGACACCCTTGGACTGACAGTACTTTTGAAAAAGGGCAGCAGGCTGCTAAATCTCTTGGACACTTTTGAAAACAGCCCTTCAGGTATTCAGTTTCTTCAGTCTCCCCTGCATCCTCTTGGCTGGGCGCACAGAAGAGGTGGCCTGTGTGTCAGGGTAGGGCTTTCTCCTATTTCCTGATTGTCTGTACCTTGCTACAGAAGATAAACTTTTAGCTGCTAGTAAGAGCACCTCTTCCTCATTTTCTTGGTGACGGTCCTCTTCCCTCCCAGTAAATTAGGCCTGAGGTGACTGCAGTGTAATATTGCAGCAATCTTGCAGATGAGCTGTTGGAGCAAGCTGTGATGTACTGATACAAGTAATTGTTTCCTCTGCATTTCAGCTCTAAGAGACCTGGCTTGGTGTGTGCTGGGCAGACTGGACGCTGACTCTGCAGTGGATGTTCCCTTTGCAGAGATCAAAATAGCTCTGAAGGTGACAGTGAGACTCATCTGTGTGCTAGATGAGACCTACAGGGCTCACAAGGCAGCACTCTGCTATGGGTAATGGGGTCCTTTGTCATCTTGATTTCATCTAAACACAAGTCAAAAATAGATATGCTTGGAAAAAAAACAAACAACCAACACCAAAATAAAATCCAGAACACGAATGTCGGGAACGTCGCAGAGCACAAGCCTCGCTGATCAAAACCATCCCATGCCCTTGCAAGCCTCCTCCCAGCCAGTTCAGCCTCACCCAAAACAACATGTTCTCCAGCCATTCATACTCAGTTGCCACTACTGAAGGGCCCAGCCAGAGACCCAGCAAAGGCCACAACCTCCTGGAAGTCACCAGGGTGCCAGCGACACAGCGGATCAGAGGGTCTCGCTGTAGGTGCCGCCGGGGCTGGTGTCCTGGCAGAGCTGCAGCTGCACGCTGGACGCAAACCAGCGCCTGGCACAGCCCAGGCTGTAGTTGAGGGTGGTCCTGTAAATGTTCTTGGCACGCTTAGGAAAGATGATGGTCGTGCTCTGAAACCTCAGTGGCTTCTGGCGGGGCTCAAAGATCAGCTGGGACTTGTAGTTCCGCCAGGTGCAGTTGGGAGCAGCAATGACCGTCTCGCTGTAGGTGGTGACGGTGGGGATGGGGCTGTAGAAGATGTCATCCCGATAATGCTTCTCGGAGTCGTACTTCACCTCGGAGTTGCACCTGCAGAGGACAGCAAGGTATCAGGAACACAGCCCAGGCAGCAAATGAGAGAAGATAGGCAGGGCTCTTCGCTATCCCTTTGGAGCTGACAATGTTGATGAGCTCTTACTGCACAGGTGCTGAGGAAGCTGCCAACCCTGCAACATAAAGCAGAAGGCCAAGAGGACTCCTTCCTGCTGGTGAGTCTTGGTGGAACTCCAACTGGCTGGAAATCCTTCTCAGCACTTCTGCAGTGAATGTGCACAGAGGACCAAACCTGCCTGGTGGTGCCAGGGCAGAAAAGACCTTGTTGCACAGGCTCCAAGCAACCTGCTACCTCCTCTGGTTTCCCCCATGGGCCCCAGTGGGGGCTCAGCCCTGAGCACTACACTGGAGGCAAACACTCTGTTAGCAAAGGATGTCAAGAGGTGGTGAAATCCCTCAGCTGGAGTAGGCCAGAGGCTGAGGAATGGACATTCATCCATGGACTGTGCAGGAAAAGCTTGAAATCCCAGGAAAATTCTAGATCCAGCCTTTCCCTGAACATTTTTAACAAGCACAGCCATGCAGCATCCACTTGAAATGGTGAGGGCCCCTGTGAAAGGAAGATCCCCTGATCATTGACTCACAGTAGGTCCCATCACACTCCCTACTGCTAGTGCTAGACCTTGGGGGTGTCACTACCCAGAGACCAGGCTGGATAGATGCTGCTGGTGGGCTGTGGGCATAGGATGTCACAAAGATCCCTGGCCATCGGGAGCAGCAGGACTTTCACTGGCTCTTCCCGCTCCCCAAAGGCTCCTCCAGCAACCAGCAGCCAAGGAATGTGCAGCTCCACGTAAAAAAAAAAAATAAAAAATGGGTGATGGACTGTGCAGGAAAAGCTTGAAATCCCAGGAAAATTCTAGATCCAGCCTTTCCCTGAACATTTTTAACAAGCACAGCCATGCAGCATCCACTTGAAATGGTGAGGGCCCCTGTGAAAGGAAGATCCCCTGATCATTGACTCACAGTAGGTCCCATCACACTCCCTACTGCTAGTGCTAGACCTTGGGGGTGTCACTACCCAGAGACCAGGCTGGATAGATGCTGCTGGTGGGCTGTGGGCATAGGATGTCACAAAGATCCCTGGCCATGGGGAGCAGCAGGACTTTCACTGGCTCTTCCCGCTCCCCAAAGGCTCCTCCAGCAACCAGCAGCCAAGGAATGTGCAGCTCCACGTAAAAAAAAAAAAAGATTAAAAACTGGGTGTGTGCTTGTCATGACCTCCACCCGGAGGGGGGTTGACTGATTGTGCAGCACATGTAACCGGAGCTTCTGCAATGTCCTGTGCACAGCCAGGGTGTGAGCAAGCAGCTCAGCACACATCAAACAGCCGCCGATGTCATCACCATAAAAACAGGCCCGCCAGCAGCTCCTCAGCAAGCAGAGATTTACTGGGGTACACTTCCAGAGAGACGTTTGCAGAGGTGGAAGGGGTGGAAATTGGGCTTGCAGTTCTCCCACCCTCCCTGCCCCAAGCTGTGTGTAACTGCTCCATGCTGTTGGCAGCAAAAGAAGAGCAGAGGCCAACATTTATCCATCAGCCACAGCACCAGCCCCACAGGAGGTCAGAACATCTCCAGCACTGGCTTGAGGGACCATCTTCTCATGAAGAGCTCATTCTGTTTCTGTGGGCTGGTTTAATGTTGGCTTCTCTGCTGCAAATACTAACACAAACAGGTGCCAGTTACGAAGGTGTTGCTCCTTCTGATGCTACAAGTCAGCAGGGAACAGGATGAAGACCATCAGGTTACTTAGAGGAGGACATCAAGCCCACAGTCAGTAATGGTTTTCTCTCATAGCCTTGGAAGGAAAAGCCTTTTTCTCTTACAAGCTCCTTCCAGTTCTTCTCTCTACCTCTGCTGCTGACAGTATATTTAGTTCAGGCCTTACTCTCCCAACCACCCCTCTATTCCCATCAAAATAACAATTCCCATTTGTAAACCTTTTAATTTTATTTTTTTTTTTCAGAAGTAGAAGCACCAGGAAAAAGACAGAATTCTGCACCTACCCACCCAATCCCATCTGTACCTGATTTCCTGCACAGGCTCAGGGCTGACCTCAATGCTTTCTCCAAAAAACACAGGGTACATTCGAGGCCTTATCTCTGGTGTGGATGGGTTCAGGAGCAGGTAAGGCATCTGCAGGGCAGAAGAGAACAGCAGGTGTTGGGACACAACTGATGGAGCTGGCACAGTTCATCATGTGGCCTGGCTGGCAGCTGAGCAGCTGCCAGCAGCACATTCAGCAGGGGCAGGAGACACCAGTGCCTCCAACCTTGCTGAACTCCCTCTCCTCAAGAGTGCCATTGGGGACACTGCAGGTGACAGGCTCTTTGGCAAGGAGAACAGGTGACTGTGGCTTCATCAGTACCAACTTTGTTTCATGCAAGCTGAGCTTGCCTTGCTCACACTCTCAGCACCGTCCCCTCACACTGCCTGTCTTTCCCAGGTTTGTAGCAGGGCCCCAGGTCAGCAGTGTGTCCATCACTCTTCTCTGTGCTCAAAGGGACCACTCAAAAGGACCACTGTCAGGATGCCAAAAAACACCCTTAGGATGGCTGGCAGAGAACAGGGCCATTAACCCCCCTCCTCACACAGACAAGCCTTCCACAGGCTTTACATTCAAGATGCCTTGACTTTCTGATCAATTACAGATCAACAGATCAACTTTCAGCTCCCAGGGCTGATGTGATACAACCGGCTCCTCTCCACCCACCAGTACTGCCCTCTCCACCTCCCTCTCCCCAGCACATCACCAAGGTAAGTGACTGCCCAGATCTCTGGCACTCCATGCTGCAGTATCTGTTAAATTTAGCTCTTCCTTTCCTTCTTCCTTTCTTATTCCTCATAGGAATTGCAACAGACTGAGGGTTTTCTTTAGCACTGATGTTGCTTTCACTGTTACGAATTAACAAGTCTTGTGAAGACTTAAGAGTGTACCAGGTTGGAGAAGTGCTGTCTGATGCAACACAGAAATAGGATCTCAGTCTGCTGACTTAAAGGATGTAGGTCTGCTTAAGTGAGATAGATAGATAGATAGATAGATAGATAGATAGATAGATAGATAGATAGATACTGAAAATAATCTATCCCTTGCAGCAAGGGAAGTGGTACCCTTGTTGCTGCTGAAGTCTCTCTCCCAAAACTGGCTGTTGTGCTCCAAGGGACACTCTAGTTAACCATGCACCTGGGAGTGTGGGGTGAGACACTGGGGTACCTTGTGGCCTCTGCAATGCAAGAAACCAGTTTCAAGCCAGGACTTTTTATTTAATGGAGCTGCTCCAGTTAATTATACAAAAAAACTGGATATTTAAGACTAATTAGACCCTGAAGTTACTTACTCTGACCAGTTGTCACAGTCCAGCTCTCTAGACTGCTCTGCTCACCACGAAAATGAGTAATCCCACTTCTGTATGCTGGAGTGCTCTTAAACATCAGTTCCCACATGTTGGGATCCTGTGTCTGGACCAAGCCCAGCACCTAATTAAGCCTAATCCTACCCTCCTGGAAAAATGTCATTGCAGGTTTTGGTCCCTGCCACCACTTTTCTGTCAGCAGCAATTTATGACATGCAGGGACACAGGGCATCTTTAGAAGAGATGGCTGGCATCCTCTGTGCAGGCTTGGAAAGTCTCTAGATGACTGAAAAGCTCATGGAGTTTTTCCATTTCCTTTTTTGCCATGCATAGGCCATATGTGCTAGAATGACAGCTGTATTTCATCACTGTAAATCAGTACAACCCACTGACAGTAGCTGAAGATCCAGCTCATGTATTGGCTTGCTCTTCCCATGTCACCCCTTTCCACTTTCTCCAGAATCTTTCGGTTGGGTGGTACAGGAGGGAACACTGGATCTGTGACCTGGTTCCTACTGGCAGTGCTGGGTAAGGTACCTGCAGCTTGTGCCCTACCCTGTACAACATGCAGGTCTCCAAATGCTCACCAGCTTATCCTTCCAGCTGGTGTTAACTGGCAAACTCTGCCAAGGCCACTCAACAGCATCAGCTCCCACCAGCCATGGTCTGGTTTTCTCTAGTGGCTTGGGCTTTCTGCCTCAGGAAGGCAAAAAGCAAAAAATGTCATTGCTTCATCTGAATTCAGAGTCCTTCAATTCTGTGTCCCAAAGCCACAGAGCTGTTTACTCTTTCAATACTGAAATATCCTGGCACTTTACTACTGTGTCAAACTGTCAAGCAAAATGGCCAACCCCTCTTTTGACTGACTATTTCTGTTCCATTGTTAAAAAAGGACATAATTTACATAGGCTTGGGGGGGGCAAGGAGAGAAGCAAGGGAACAAAAAAGAGTTATGCTTACCCTCACTATCAAGCACTGGCCAAAAAGCAAAGTTCATTCCTGGATTGCTTTCAACACTCTTGACAGGGGAGGGCAAGGGCAGCCTTTCTGCTCATAAATAAAGCTCTTTGCTTCTGAAATGTGAATTGTTTAGATCAGACAAGCCTTAGTTCACAAGGGTGCAGATCTCTGGCTTTTAAGTGCCTGCACATGGGCAAAGCTCTTTCTAAAGACATCTTGTGCATGAGGAGAGGTTCATTGGGGTGCAGGAGTTAAAACACCATGTGCACATGCATTGGTGGGCTCTGTACGTAACAGGCGGGCTGGCCTTTTGGGGGTTCAACCTGCAAAGAGATGCAGACTGCTTTAACCAGTGAAGGCAGAAAGGCTGGGGATGTGTCCCCCTCCTTCAGGAGACTGTTCTCTTGCTCTTTATGCCCCTGTGGTCATACTTGACATTGGCATAACTCCACCTGAGAACCTGCCCTCTTTTTACACTGTGCCTACAAGAAAGATCTTGTCCAAAAGGCATCAAACTGGTCTCTGCTTGCAGGTGAGGTGAGAAAATTATAATCTCTGATACCCTCTTTGAAAAGCTCAGCTCAGCAAAAGGTGTTTCCAGCTTCCCAGATGAAACACTGAACTTCTGCAGGGCAGAAAGGTGGGCCTTTTCCTGCAATATGAGAAGGAGACCTAAAGGTACGGACACCTCTTAGTGGAAAATATTTGAATGTCCTATTTTTACCATGAACCAGAACTCTCAGCACAAAATAATGTTGACTTCAAAGTGGCTTGGGTTTTTATATCCCATCCTGAAGACAAGGTGGCTGACCAGGGTGCAGCTTTCCAACAGGTTGTGAAGGAAAAGCCTCTTGCAGTTGTAGTTCTGTTTTTCAGAGGGTATTCACTCAAGTCCATGCCCAGCCCCATGCTCCTCTGTGTGATCCATCAGCCTAAGAAAGAGCATCTGGAGTGCTCTGCACTCCCACCTTTCTTCCATGCCCTGCTTTTGGGGAGTCTTTGCAATGCTCACCTTGGCTGGAGAGGGGCAATAGTTCTTTCTGAGTGTAGCCAGCAAGTTGGTGGTTTGCTATTTCCCGTAACAGGTAAAATAAGTGATAGCCACCAAAGACAGTGTCACACTCTGGCACCAGTCACCCAAATAATGAAGAAATAGAACAGAACTGGTAAGGATCTTCTATCCCAGCTGCTAAACAACAGATGTTTTCAGGCCATGCTGCCAAAAGTGATTGCAAACTTAGAAAACCAGAAAAAAGGTTGGGAGGTACTGATCTGTTTCACCTCCAGTGATGTTCTGAAATACCTGCTCGTGCATCTCACCTGCAGTTGGGAAGCAAGGAACAGGGGATGAGCTTTCCAAAAGATTTGTCTTTGGGGCTGAAATGTTATATGTTTGGCACATGTCAAAAGCTGACGTTTTGGCAAGAGTCTGACACCAGCTCCTTCCAATCTGTCCTAAGGTAAATACAAACAAAAATGTTCTGCCTGTCAAAAAAAGTACTGACTCAATTCTTTTTCCTTCTGCACAAGAACAGTTGAAAGAAGAGGAACACTGGACTGCTGAGCTCCCTTGAGAAAATTATGATCCTTGGCATATTTCTAGCAATCACTCAGCGATCTCCAGACACTTGACAAACAAGGCAAGTTTCTTTATGGCCCTGCACCACAGACAGGCTGGCAGGAACACTACTGAGATCCCTGCTGGTGAAGAGGAGCAACCCACATGTATTTACACCAGGCTGTCCACATGTGATCCGCAGTCAAGGTCTGTCTATCCTAAGAACAAACCCTGGGGTTGCTGTGCTGGGAGGATACAGCTGGGACCTGCTTAATCTGTCCCCAGGAACTGGAGCTGTGCTGCTACTTACCAAATGCAGCTCCACAAAAGCCACCACAACCTTGTCATCTTTATGCAGGGAGGAGTCTAATAGTCCAGGAAGGTTGTAGAGGAGAAAGGGAAGATAATTGGAGAGATGAAAAAGTGCCCTCAAAACAGAGCCGAGTCAAAAATTCAGCAGTGAATGTGCTATCATTTTTATTTCTGTCCAGTACATAATTTGTTTCAACCAGCAAAGGGTTACAGTGTTATTAAAAAGCTGAAGTGCTTTCTTGTTTGGCTGCATTTTTCTCTCTGTCTTTACTCTGAAGCTTTTCAGGCATGTAACAGCCTGGGCAGCTAAACTCTGCTTTTTTCAAGAAGAACAGAGATAAACCCAGATAAAACTGGTTGCTGAATGGAATTCCACATACAGCTAATGAACAGCACTTCCTTTATGGATTAAGTATTATGAGGGGGGCTCACTCTTTAGGACAATGTGTCCTTCAGCTCCATCTCATTGCTTCATACCTGCCCCAAGTGCCACCTCAGTGACTGGTTCTTGGGGTTTTTTTCTTGCAGAATTCTGAATAGTGGCAAAAATATGGTGGGCAGAATTAGACTGTTTTACCACTACTAATTGTGTAGAGTCAGTGGGCTCTGTTAAGATACTTTTCATTTGGGGTAACTTACAAGAATGGAAGCAGGGTTATCAAATAATAAACAAAGATGAGGAAAGAAATGCCAAGAAACTGGCCTGAAATAACTAACTACTCTTTAGCTTCCAAATTCCAGTCTGCAAAGCAAAGCAAAATAAATTAAAAAAATATATAAATAAAAGGAAATTAATGTGACTTGAAAAAAATAACCCCCCCAAAAAACTTTCCCCAGAGAGCAAGAAAAGACCAGAACTGATGAACTCCTTTTGCTACAGTCAGTATATGGAAGGCACCAAGATGTGGCATTAGATCTCTGGGGACTGTAAGGGGAAATGGTTTTCCAAGCATCAGGACTATAAACAGGACACAGCTTCCCAAATTCCCAGCTCCTAACTTAGCTAAGGCATAAGCAAATCTTTCACCACATTTTCCAACTATGGTAACATGTCAGGTCCATGAAAATGTCACTTGACTCAGCTGTTATTTACAGCTATAATGAAAGATCTGGCTGAGTTATTTGACACACATCTACATTCCCCGCTCCACCTGATAAGCAATATTTGTTTAACAGACCATTTATTTTCCCAACATCTTCACATATTGCACATTATGAGTAATTTATACTAGAGCCGGATGAGATTATATTTGGAGGTGATAACAGTAAATGCAGACCTCAGGTAGAAAGCAGGGCTTTATTATTTCACAGAATTAGATCCCTCCTGCTTATCTCATTCTTTCTTTCCAGTGGGAAGTGTGTGCTGCTTTGCTGAGTGTCCACTGCATTAATAGAAACTAAACAGCTAGAAGACACAACCCCAGATAATGCTGCATTTTTCAGAGATGATGATGCCACTCTGACCATCTCCCTGCTCTGACCATCTCCCTGATCTGCCCAGCAGGGATGTCTGTCACAGTTTGCAGAGGCCCAGAACTGTTCCTCCTCCTTCACTGCTGGTGTTGAACCAAGGAGGAAGAAGAGCTGGTGTGTGCTCAGACCTGGAGGGGGCTGAGGGACAGGGGACAGCCAGGTGGGGTTGCCTTTTGCCAGGCACCAGACAGAGGCATGGAACTGAAACCACTGCCAAACCCTGCAGGGGAATTCCTGCAGGATCCTGTCCTGTGGGAGCAGTTCAGAACTGGGTCAGGATGCCAGGCTGCAAATGCCAACCCTGCAGGCAAGCCCTGCTGCTGTGCCAGATGGGTGCCTGGCTCCCTGCACAGGCCTGGGGCTTTCCCCAGAGCTGCTGGGATCCATGTCAGCTTGGAGAATCATGTCACCTGCTCTGTGTGTGGGCTGCCAGCTGGCTCAGGTTGGGGGTGCTGGGCCTTTCTCCCACGTGTGCTTTCACTGTAGGTGCTGGCAGGTCTGGAGGTCACAGATAGCCTGGAAACCCTTTGGTGGCCACATCTCCCACCCAGAAGAGACTCTTGGCGTGCTTTCAGTGTAGCATGAGGTGCTGGCTCTGTAGCCCAAGAGCTCTTCAAAATGCAGCATGTCAGGAAGAGGTGTTTTTTTGGTTTTGTTTTGTTTCAGTATCAGCCATAAACCCAACAGATCCACACATGCAGCTCTGGATCCCACTGCTGGAACCATGCCTGTGAAGGCTGTGCCAAGGGGCAAGGTATGGTCCTCCTCTGCACTTGAGATGAAGCTCCAGTCTCCTCCCACCACACCAGACTGACTCTGGCACCACACTGTTGTCCAACACAGCTCCTGAATGTAAGTAGAAATTCCCTACGTGGGGGCATTCACCCAACAGCTGATCCACTGGGATATAGTCCTACAGAAGTCAGTGCACAGTGAGGCAGGTTGAGTCTTTCAAATGAAAAGGAATTTGTTGCAGTGGTAACAGTGCTGGGGAGGGACAAGAAGTCTGCTGCTTCAAGAAGGCACCACTGATAGTTCTGCACACAAATGTGATCCTGATCTCCCCTGGGAGTTACGCTGTTGAATGGAAAGCACTTATTTCAGCACAGCCCCAAAGCAGTTCTTCTAGCCTAAGACTATATCCCAGGGCAAGAAGAGGGAAAACTCTAAGCAGATCTCACTACTTTGATGTAATTTTGTTCCCTAACCCTCCAGCAGCTGCTTTTTTGTGCATATTATTAGAGATTTATTTCATTGTATTTATGTTCCTTTTGACCCAGCGTTGCACACAAAGTCTTGAGAATTCAGTGACCCAAGTCCTAAGAACCAATTTAATCATGTTTCAGATTGAAAAGGCAAAACTAGGTAAAAGTCACCTTGTATTTTTATTAGGATATTTGCACTTAAGAACAAAACAATTGACAAATTCCCCACGTGGACTTTATTTGAAGAAAAAAAAAGCCAATTTCTCCTGCACTGCAATTAAAATGGGGGGGAAAAAAAAAGTCTCTAAATGGTGTTGAACTTGTGGTATTTATGACTCTGGCCCTAAATTGCCTTTCATATTTTTTTGGATCCCAACACTGTAGCCAAATTGGCTGGTTAAATGTGAATAAATGGTGCATTGTCTCTGAAACAAAGTCGTGCTTATTAAAGAGAAGAGAGTTTACTTTTTCAGAGTCACAGTTAATAACACAAGGCAGGGACAGTGTGGATTTTACACAAGAGCAACTCTTCTGTAAATGCAGGCAATCTCATTTTAGTCTGTATGAGAAGAGCTATCCCAGAGCACAAAAAAATCTCCAACATATTTGTGAAGTTGGGGGAAAATAGCTGACTGCAAAGGAAGGCCACTGAGTTTAGACTGGTGGTTTGGATAGGTCTGGAGTAAGGAACAGTATGAATTACTTCCCACAGATCTGGAATGTTGTTTTCTTCACCTGACAGCAATTTATTGTAACTGTACGTACTAGAATTTTGGCCATTAGTGACTGAGCTTATATATGGTTTTATAGTACTGTAACACAAAGAGTGCAGGCTCCATTCCTGGCTCTGTCACGTTTATAAGCAAAACAAACACTAATAAGTGATTTTAAAAAGCTTGCCTTGGTGTGCAAATAGCTGCAATTATTGATTTGCCAATTCTGCATGCTCTGATGAACAGCAGAGTAGTAGAGTTAAACAGAAGCACATTCATGGATTGCATAATTGCTCATAGATTTGCAAGTCCTTGTTAAATGGCAAGATTAAAGCTAATTAGATACTGAAATTCAGCAGTATGAAGAAAGAAACGCTCTCCGTATTTTTCCTGCTTTCTTAGTAACAGCTGCAAGTACAGTATCTGCAGGGTGGAAATGAGAAGTGAAACTCTCTCTACAGTCAAAAAGAGGGAAAGTTTCTATTTACTTCATTATTTTGCAGTATACCAAACAGTCTGAGTTAAAGGGCAGTCCTGCACCACTCTAAATTATACAAACTGGTTTCAGTGTTAGGATCTCTGTAACCTCCTGTACCTACTAAGGGCATGGGAATATCCAAAACCCTTCCTCTAACAGCAGGAGCCCAGGGCTACCCATGCTGCTGCAATGTGATACAGAATTTGGAAACATCTACAGTGTGAGTTCATTTGAAATGTGTAAAATTTCCCTTTGTGATTAAAATAAATCTAATTTTGCCTTACACAGACCATAGGAATTACTTCCTTTCTGTAGAAGTCAAGCACTAAACCTCTCAGTCCTAACAGCCCAAAAGCTGGAATAGGTTTTTCTTGTGCTCTTTCATCTTTGATATCTGAAGGCTTTCTTGGGAGGAATGGTGGCCAACTGTCATATTACTAGAATGGAGGCTGTCACATCCCCATTTCAGAGCTTTGCAGATACCTACCCCCAGCTGTTTTCTGGTCCAGCAAGCCTTCATTCATCCTCCTCCCACATTTTATTTTAGAAATACACAGCAACAGCCTGATCAGAGGTGTGAGGGTAGCTCTCTGTACATAAACAGTCCCACCAACAGTCCCACACACACCCAAGCATCTGCAGGTAAAGGCTCCCTCTTTGGAACCACAGCGTTAGCAGATTTGACTTTCATAATTAACACCTCACACCCTACCCACAGCAGGCTGGTGAGAAGGAGTCATTGTTCATGGGGAACGTTTTGGCATGTTTGGGAGTAAAAGGCAGTTTTGAATAATATGATAAAATAGCCTTAGAACTTGAGAAAGTAAATGAGGGTGTGAGGAGTCATTGCAAAATGTCTTTGAATTCTCACTAATCCATAGGTGGATGTGTTTTTCCCATGGAAAGATTTGTGCTGCAGTTTTTCTCCCATATAGAAGCCAATTAACTGTGTTGAAAACACCTACAAGTGTATTTTATATGTGTTAAAGAAAATTTGAAAGATCCCTGGGGAAGAACTTTAATCATCCTTTTAAAACCTCCACCACCCTTGCATATGCTCTGAACTTTGTGCTTTAAAAACAGTTTTTATAGCTAAGGGATAGAAAGGAACAAAATAAAGCAGAATGGTAGTCATAATAAATCTACCCCAATCCTACTCCACAGTCAACCCCTTCCCTGGCACTGTGTCAGGCTAACAAATCTGCAGTGCTTCTGCCAGCTGTCTGAGCTTACAAACCACTAACCCTCCAGCACACAAACCTTCCACACAGACCCCTGCCACAAAAGCCCCCTCCAGCTCAGGGCAGCAGCACACAGCCTTCCCCAGACCCTGTCTCCCCGGACAGACACCCGTACCCTGCCCCGAGTTCATGGGCAGTTTTGTCTTTCTTGCAGAGGGCTCCAGCAAACGTGGCTCCAGGCTCCTGACAAAACCAACGTGGGATGCTGGAGGGTGAGGATGCCTGGGAGCCGGGCTGCCCTGCCTGGCTCCGGACAGATGCAGCGCCGACCTGTACCCGGCAGGACAGCGTCTCTGGGAAGCAGTTACACTTTTCTGTTCTTAAGGTAGGCAGGGGAGCCTGGTTCAGACCTGGGTTTTACTCCCGCACCGTTATTAGTGTCTCCCCAGCCAAACTGCTGCCACTTCTGCGAGTGCATCGGAAAACCCCGTTGCCTGGGCACACCCGTGACAGTGGCAGTGCCAGGGCCGAGCTGCAGCCACGACGGGCACAAGCAGCCCGGGACAGCCCTTGCCCACCCGTGCAGGCACTGAGCTGACACAGCCCTGGGGCGCCCCAGTCCTGGGGCAAAACCTGCTCTTTCCTCGCTGCCCCCCGTGGCCAGTCTCGTCCAGCCTTTGGCCCCCCCCCCAGGACCCGCAGTGGACAGAGCCCAGCGCCCAGGGTTTGGCTCTTACCCCTTTGCCGTCCTTGGCGTCTCGACGGTGCCCCGGGGCCGGGGGGTCCGCGCCGCTGCCGCCCCCGGCCCGGCCCTCGCCGGGCGACAGGGAGTAGAAAGGGGGACTGGGGCTGGGGGGCAGCCCCGAGTCCGGGCTGTCCAACAAGCCTTCCCGGCTCTTCTCCTTCAGGCTCTCGTCCATCCCTTGCAGCTGTAGGTGACCTACCATGTCTGGGGGGCAGCGAGGGGGCCGCGGCGGGAGAAAATCCTCCAGCGCTGCCCGCCTCGGAGGGACGGGAGGGCAGGGGAGGGGAGAGGAGCCCCCCGAGTCCCGCCCGGGCCCGCGCCGCGGCTGCTGCGGGGTCAGAGCAGCATCAGCCGGGCCGGGCTGTCCCGGCCCCCGCGTCCCGGCCCGTCGGGCGGCCCCCGGGAGGGGAAGAAAGGCCCGATCCCCCCGCCCGAGCCCCGCGGGGGATGCGGCCGTTCAGGGCCGGCCCCGCCGCCAGGGAGCGCTGGGGGCTCCGGGGACCGGGGCCGCTCCGCTCCGCAGCCGCCGCTGCCCGCCCGGCCGCCGCCTCCCGGCCGCCCATTTATCCGGACAGGGTGGGAGGGGAGCCGGGGAGCGCCCTCCCCTTCCCCCGGTCCCCCGGCTCTGCCCCGGGCGCGCAGTTCCCGGCGCTTCCCAGGCAGGGAGCGGGTGGCGGGGTCCCTGGGGCAGGGAACGGGCCTCATCCCGGTGCTTTCCCTCCGCCGATTGCCTTCGTTCCTGGTTTTCCCTTCACTTCGGCGTGCTTGTTGCCTCAGTTCCGTCAGATTTTTACCTCAGTTCTGATTTTCACCCTCTTGCCCGCTGAAGCGGCTTTTCTCCTCTGTGCCAGGGCACGATGGAGAGCCCAGGAGCCATCGTCCCTCTTCGCTTCCAGGTGCCAAAGGGAGGATTCACCCTTGGCTGCTGGGATGTGTCTGCCCGCCATGGCCTCTGGCTGGCCATCCCGTCATGGCAGCCCTGGCTTCTGCTCAGTGCAGCAAGCTCTCTGTGGCCGGCTCCACAGCTGCTGGTCTGCAACCCAGCCTGTCAGGGCCACCACAGATGCCATGGGAGGGCTCCCCAGGCCCAGCACAGCCGCTGGCTGGGGCAGCGGGGTGTGCCCACGGCTCTGCAGGCCCGGAGGGGAGCGGAGGGTCCGCACCAACCCTCGGGGTCTGCAGAAGTAAGAAACGGTTAAACAGGTTGTTCTTGCAGAAGCTGATATGGACCACTGTTGCACAATAACTGGCAGACATTAATGGTACCTTGTCTGCAGCCTTAGTTATGTTTTTCTCATCACATTTTCTCTCTACATAGAGTTCAGACGGGCTGGCCTAGCAGGCCGCACGGCTCAGCCCTCTGAGCTTTATTTGCAGCAAATAGGCTTCTGTGGAAAACCTGAAATCCAACTGGCTGCCTCCTCTTGGTCAGAGCTGTTTGCTACCTTTCAGCAGCACAGGATTACACCTGTTTGTGCTACAAAACCAACAAATGCAGCATTTGTTATGGCAGCTGATGACAATATTAGAGTTCTGGTGTTGTACCTAGGGATGAAGACTTTCACACTCAAGGCCTCAAGATGGGAGCCCGCAAGATGGCACAAAGTCCTCGGAGGGTAGATTTGATCCTAAAAGGGCCCACACTCCATCCTGAGGGAGTGGGTCACATTGTATGGTGGTAGGTGAACTCTCTAGCTAATGAAACTGGATTTGTTTAGGCTTATTCTTGCTCAAGTCAAAAGGAAAGGCTGAGGATGCCCAAATCCACCCTTGACTGAAATGAGGGGCCCTCCTCGGAGTGACTGACGCGATCTGTATGCACTGAGTTGTGCAAAGGAATGTCACTGATTTATAAATGTCAAACAGGCACCGAGCAGCCCACACACAAACCTTTGTGAATTCCTACCTCTGACCCGCTCATCATCAGCTCCAGCAGCCACACAGGCTGATTTAGAGCCCCTTACTGTAAGGGCTCTAATGTCTCACACAGGCTGTGGCTGATCTGAAAATGTCAAAGGAGACTGAAGGTCAAAATTTCCATAAATTAGGCCCTGGCTTGCTACCTATCATGTAATAGGATTCTCCAGCCAGTTAACACTGTGAACTCAGGCTTCAGAGCAGCAGTTGCCCTGCAGCCCTGTTCCCCTGCCCCTCTCGTGATCGGGTGAGACCACATGTGTGAGGGAAAGGGGCATATTCAGAGCTGCTTTCTTCCAAGAAGGAAAAAGAAGCAGGACAACAGGACACTGAACAGGGGTGAGTGAGCTATCCTTTACTCCTAGGGAGGTACATTTTAGCTTGGGGAGCATGTGGGGGGAAGACTGTTTTTTTCTGATTCTTGTTTTGAGAAGCTACAATCCAGTTTTTCCTAGAGCTAAATAATGTGTATTTCTCATGGTAAATTTCAGTACAATACATGTGTTTAGCACAGAAGTGGGCATTCATAGGTTAGGGTTTGCTGAGCTCTAAACAGTTCAAACACTGGGCACTACTGAGCATCTCCAAGCGTTTATAGGGAAATTGACTTCACTCATTACTGGCAGAACTGCTAGACTCTGCAGAGCATACATGTGCACATATTAAGGTGGTATTCTTGTTGTTGTCTTTGTTATTGCATTTAAAGTTAGTAGTGGGTTGCTCACCCAAGGTGGAGCACAGGAGGGTGGGCAGGTGGCAAGAAGTGTTCCTGTCTTGATGGCTGTGATAGAAATGACTTATTCTTTGGTCAAAAGTCCTTCTGGAGCCACAGTATCCGGCTCTTGGCCAGTGAAAATTTGCCTGAATGGGAGCTCAGTGAAAGGATACAGTGCACAGCCACAGATGTAGATATGGGGTAGTAGAAAAAGACCTGTTGAAACAGGACATAAACATTGCATGGTGCCCTACCAAAGGAGAAAACCATCCAGTGTGGGATTTTCAGTTGAGGCCATGTTGCTCTACTGAAACCCTCCTTAGTTTAGCAATTCTTAATTTGCTGGAAGGAATCACTAGGGACTGGTGCATTCCTGTGTCTTGGCTTGGGAACTGGGAAAGTGGGCCTTTGTATGTATGGTGGGACAAGGAGGAAGGAAAAGTCTGGAGGGCAAGTTTTCTGAAGCAGCTGAATGTGGACAGACAGGTGCAAATCCAGTGCAGTGGTACAAGGGCAGCAGTGTGTGAAGGTATAGGCTGTGGGACAGAGGCCTCCACTACCAGAACTAACTCTGAAGGAATGACTCTGCCTAGCTCGGAATTTGAGTGTGAAAAAAACACACAGGCAAAACAATAACTTAGGAGTCAAGTAGAAGAAAACTAGGGAAAATTCCAGCAGAACTTTATCTGTTAAGATTCACTCTCAGGCAGAGGTGTAATTCTGACATCAATTAGAGAGGACTTTATGAAGCACATTTCTCAAATCTTCTCCAACTTTTTTTCATTGGTCTACTTTGTTATAAAACAAAGGCCCAGTCCTGAAATGGGTAGATAAACACATGCGGGGAAACCTCTGTGCTTTGCTGGAAGCTGTAGGGACTGGGTGCTGCTCAGAAGCAGAGACCTGCTGTGTGCCAGGCTGGTGATGCCACATATGGCATTGACAGCTCTTCTCAGGTAAAGCGCAGAGCATCAGGGATGCAATGTGAGCTGCACTGTGGCTCACTGAGCTCCATTCAGTTGTGTTTGAAGTTTCCAGGTGAGGCTTTACAAACCCAAATCTGCTGAGATCTATGTGGTCTTCAGAGATCCATCAGTTAAGTGCTGTGACTTCATCCAGATGCTTGGATGTTTGCTTCTCTCTGCTACTGGCTGTCTTGCCAAGTGCTGTGGGACTCGTGTCTGGCACTTCTCTCACTGGTCATTTTCCTGGGATCCCTTTGCAGCCTCTCTGCAGCCCTGCACTCTCCTCTCTGGGCTCCTGTGTCAAGCACAACTGTGCTACAATATCCAGCAGCCCTTTATGGCCCTGAATATCCCACTATTAAGACTCATCCTGCATGGTGGATCGAAATGCACAAAATGATGCAGCAGAGGTGGGAAGTTATAAGAGAGGGATTGTGTGGGCAGTGGGGGCAGGAACCCAGACAGCCTTCCTGGTGTGAGCAGCCCTACTTCTGGATAAAAGTCAGTATCCCTCCTTGAATCCAGTGTGATTCAAGTCTCTCCATGCTTTGATGAGTCCTCTACCTCCCGTTTTCCTGGCTATTCTCTAGATTTGAGTACTTCAGGAATCTGCTGTCCCACAGACATGGCAGAATGTCAGCATCACGTGCTAAGTTTCCTTCCACTGCTGCCAGGCTTGAAAGACAAATACAGTGAGGGAAGAAAAAGACAGGATACAAACACCTACATCAGGACTTTTTCCGAAACAGGCTGGGTGGCAAAATAGGAAGAATCCTAGGAATGTCCATTCTGGTTCACTGTCAAACCTGATCCTTCAGAACACCCACAGCATAACTAGTCCCTGTAAGAGTGGCTTGGGCCACACTTGGATGTAACTATGCTCTTTGGTTCCTTCCAAAGAGGTGCAACCTCTTCTTACTGCATTGTGTTCCTGTCAGTAGAGCTGAAAGGCATCAAAGCGGCATCATCCCTCAGGGAAATGTGGCCAGAGATCGTGACCCAGGTATGTCCAGCCCAGTTCAAATTTGCCTGGCACCTCATGGAGTTGTTCATCTTGGCCTCAAATGATCCAGAGTACACGGGTGACATACTGCTGCTTACTGCACAGGTCCAGGTGATGATACAAAGAGCAGGAAGTACATCCATAGTGCTGGACCTGGAAACCACATGCCAATAATGATTTGTTTTGCAGAGCAGCATGGCAGAGTTCAAATCAAAGGAACCTTTCTGCCTGAAAAGCAGAGGCCATTTATCAAGAGACATAATCACCTCCTGAGAGGTCTACTAACTTATTTTTAGGTAGCCCCAGAATCAGAAATGTTTTTGAACTGGACTGGGAGTTTTGGCTGTCTGGTCCAATGAAGGCCACACAGCCCAGAAGGAAACAAACCAACACAGGCAGTTTATTCTGAGAACTTCTCTCAGGAGATACCTCATCTCCTTGCAACATCCTCTGGTATGGCTTTGCCAAGTCACTGCCAGGGCTTGTAGCTTGTTTCTGTCTCCTGTTAGCAGTGTCAGTCCTACACTGTGGGAGCAACCAGAATGCTCTGCAGCTCCTTCCAGTCATGGCTGCACCTGCCCTTGCCCTGTTACCCTCACCAG